GCGTTCGTCGCTGGCGCACATCGAGAACCAGAGGCGGCACTGCGCGTTCCCGCGCGCTGCGAACAGGTCTGCCACTGCTCGGCCAAACATGTCCCACAGTGTCTGAGCCAGGGACGGGTTCAGCCCCCACCCCTTTGGCCTGAGGCCCGCGCCGCGGACCTCATGTCAGTGACATGTCATGACAGTTAAATTGTTCTGCTCGCCGGGGACGTGTACGGCTCTGATGGAGAGCATGTTCTGATGCGCCCAGAGCAGGAGTTCCCGTGCAATCTCCAGCAACCGGGCAGAGCGAACACAGCCTTGCCGGTTTATGTACGCGACAGCTGTCGTGTTGTCTGATTGGATCATGACGTGTCTGCCCCTCAGCACCGGTGCGAAATGCTTCACCACTTTGAGCACTGTAGCTAGTTCCAGACAGTTGATGTGGAGATACGGGGTGTGATCCCACCGTCCTCCCACGGCCTGAGACAGACACGTGCCGCCCCGGCCGAGCAGAGACACGTCTGTGAACACCGGGACGTGTGATGTGGCTCTGCCCAGGGGAACCCCGTCGTCAACACACTGGGAGTTCCCCAGTACTCCAGGTCCGATTGGACTGAGGGCGGGACGTGAGCACGCGCCCCTTGTGGCGCAGTGGGTTGAGGCGCAGACGGCCGAACCACCTCTGAATTTTCCTCATGTGGAGGAGACCGAGGGGGACTACGACGTGACCAAAGCACTTCTCGCCTGGCGGGTGTCAGCCTCGCTCTAATGTGCAGAGAGTCCAGGTGCACCCCCAGGTAAGTGAGCATCTGGGAGGGCACCGATGAACTCTTCTCCCAATTTATTGCAAACCCCAGTTGTGCCAGGTGCTGCACCAGCATCGCCGTGTGGGACGCCGCTTGATGTGTGGAGCGTGCCATCGGAATCAGATCGTCTAGGTAAAAAGGACCCTGATTCCTGCTCTGCGCAGCGGTTCTAATGCCGCTTCCACGCACTTTGAAAAGGTGCGGGGGGCCAGGGAATAGTCGAAAGGCAGCCTGTTGTACTGGAAGTGTGTGCCTTGGAAGGAGAAATGCAGGAATTTCCTGTGTTTGGGAATAATAGGCACGTGAAAATAAGCGTCTCTCAGATCAATGGAAGTAAACCAGTCGCCGGGTAGCACGCATTCCAGCACTTGTCTCGTGGTGAGCATATGAAACGGTCTCTGTACTATGTATTTGTTGAAGAGGGACAGATTGAGGATAGGTCTCATTTCGCCCGATTTCTTGGGAACCAGGAAGTAGCGCGAGTAGAAGCCCTCGCGCTCCTGCCCCTGGGGAACCACGGAGATTGCTGCTTTGGCTAGCAGCACTTGCAGCTCTGTCGCCAGTGCAGCGGAGCTCGCAGGTAACGTTATGACAGTCTCCAGCACGCTGCTGAAAGCAGGAGGGTGCCTAACCACTGGTGCGCCCTCTCTGCCATTGCCAGAGACGAGTGTTCGCTCTGCGTAACCCATGGGAGGGCGCTGGAGAAAGGGCTGAGAGAAGAGAAGCGCCACGTGTTCAGCTACAGCGCTCGCCTCCTGTGTGGAGGGGAACCCGTCGCTCATACGCACAAGTGGGTGAGGAGTGGGGAGACCACACAGACTCACAGGCAGCTCTGTATCAGACAGAGCAGCGGTGTCATGCGTTGACAAAGTGGGGAGGAAGATCATGTCCCCCCCAGCGGTGGCTGCTGGGCGCCTGTCTCTGAAGCGTTGACCGCCCTGCTGACTACGCTTCAGAGACAGGCGCTGGGGTCCCGGGGCGGGG